TTAGGAGAAGAAAGGGAAAATGAAGGGGGGGAAATCGGAGGGAGAGATGAACCATGAGAGACTATGGACTCTGAGAAACAAACAGGGTTTTAGAGGGGAGGGGGGAGGGGGGATTGGTTAGCCTGGTGATGGGTATTAAGGAGAGCACATACTGCATGGAGCACCGGGTATTATACGGAAACAATGGATCGTGGATCACCACATCAAAAACTAATGATGTATTGTATGGTGACTAACAACATACATAATAAAATTTAAAAAAACACACATTATAACCAAGTCGCTCAAAAATTAAGACAAAATCTATACATAACCAGAGAAAAACCATGATGGATATAGAAGAAAAAATAAGGATGATATCAGGTTTCTCATTGGAAACAACACACATGAGAAGACAATGAAACAAAATTTTTACAGTAATGAAAGACAAAACCTATTTACTTGAATTCTATATGGGGGAAAATATCTTTCAAAGACAAATGCAAAATAAGGACTATTTGGACATACAAAAGCTGAATGAATTCACTGACCAACAGACTTACAATACAAGAAATGTTAAAGGAATTTCTTCAGATAAAAAGAAAATTATATCTTACAGAAATCTGGAGCTACAGACATGAAGAGTACCAGAAATGCTAACTGCATGAGTAAGAATATATTTTATTATTTAAATCTCTTTAAAAGAGAATTTAAAGTATAAAAATAACAATATTGTAGGGTTTATAACACATGTAAGAGTAAAATTTATGACAATAGCATAAAAGCCGGGAGGGAAGAAATGGAAGTATAGTGTTTTTAGATAAGATATCACTTGCAGGTACACTGGGATGAATTAAAGATATATACCATCAACTTATGGCAACCACTAAAATAACAAAATAATTAATTATAACTAATAAACCAAAGAAGGAGAACAAATGGAATCATACAAATTAAAATCTAAAAGGAGAAAACAGGAGGAAAGTGGAAAAAGGTATACATGGGACAAAGAAAAAACAAATGATAGTGGACTCAAACCTAAACATACCAATAACAACATTAAATATAAATGGTCAAAACACCACCGAAAAGGTCAAAACCATCATATTTAATTTTAAAAGCAAGAACCAACTATATGCTGCCTGAGAAGTGCACTTTAAATATAAACAAATAAGTAAAAAAAAGTAAAAGTATTAAAACCATATACCATACCTAAATCTAGTCAAAAGAAAGTTCAGTGGCTATATTTATATACATTTCAAAACAAAGAACATAAAATTTATTTCATAATGATAAAAGGGGTTAATTACTCTAGAGGACATGACAATTCTAAATGTTTATGCATTTAACATAAGAGGATCAAAATACATGAAGCAAAAACCGATAGAACTGCAAGGAGTAACAGACAAATCCACAATTATGGCCAGAGAGTTCAAGACCTCTCTTAATAACTGATAGAACGAGTAGGCATAAAATCAGCATGGATATAGTAGACATGAGAAACACCATCAACCAGTTTGACATGATTGATATTTATAGAACACTTCATCCAACAGCAGAAAAATACATACTCTTCTTAAGTGCAGATGAAACATTTTAGATATATAGACCACATTCTGGGTCATAAAAACTTATGGCATAGTTTATAGTATTCAAGCCATAGAAAGTATGTTTCCCTCTTCTTTGCCAATTTGAATGCCTTTCATTTCTTTTTGTTGTCTGATTTCTAAGGCTAGGACTTCTAGTACTATGTTGAGCAATAGTGGTGAGAGTGGGCATCCCTGTTGATTGAGTTCCTGACCTTAAGGGAAAAGCTCTCAGCTTTTACCCACTGAGAATGATATTCGCTGTGGGCTTTTCATAGATGGTTTTTATGATATTGAGGTATGTTCCCTCTATCCCTACACTGTGAAGAGTTTTAATCAGGAAAGGATGCTGTATTTTGTCAAACGCTTTCTCTGCATCAACTGAGAGGATCATATGGTTCTTTTCTTTTATTAATGTACTCTATCACGTTGATGGATTTGGAAATGTTGAACCGCCCTTGCATCCCAGGAATAAATCCCACCTGGTCATGATGGATAATCCTTTTAATGTACTGTTGGATCCTATTGGTTAGTATCTTGTTGAGTATTTTGGCATCCATGTTCATCAGGGATATTGGTCTGTATTTCTCCTTTTTGATGGGTCTTTGCCTGGTTTTGGGATCAGGGTAATACTGGCCTCATAGAATGAGTTTGGAAGTTTTCCTTCCATTACTATTTTTAAGAAACAGCTTCAGAAGAATAGGTATTATTTCTTCTTTCTTCTTTAAATGTTTGGTAGAATTCCCCTGGGAAGCCATCTGACCCTAGACTCCTGTATTCTGGGAGGTTTTTTGTTTTTTTTTTTAAGATTTTATTTATGTATTTATTTGAGAGACTGAGAGAGAGAGAGAGCACGAGAGGGAAGAGGGTCAGAGAGAGAAGCAGACTCCCTGCTGAGCAGGGAGACCGATGCGGGACTCGATCCTGGGACTCCAGGATCATGACCTGAGCCGAAGGCAGTCGCTTAACCAACTGAGCCACCCAGGCGCCCCTCTGGGAGGTTTTTGATTACTCCTTCCATTTCATTACTGGTTGTTTATCTATTCAGATTGTCAATTTCTTCCTGTTTCGGTCTTGGTAGTTTGTAAGTTTCCAGGAAAGCATCCATTTCTTCCAAGTTGCTTAATTTGTTGGCATATAGTTGCTGATAATAATTTCTAATAATTGTTTCTATTCTCGGAGCGCAGGGACCGCTGGGGGCCAGCTGGGGCTAGGACCGCAGCGACGGCCCGAGCCCGGGATACTGCGCGCGGGCGCGGATGGCACAGGCGAGGGTCCCACTCCCCCGCCTCCCCCCCTCCCATGGTCTGCGCCAGCAGCGCGGGAGGCTTGAAGTGCCCAGCGAGGTGCGCACCACTCAGGCCGCTGCTAGTTAGCGCGGCGCCACGGACACCCAACGGGCAGAGGTCCACGCCTTGGAGGCTGAGATCGCTGCCCTGCGACGGGCGTGCGAGGAACCGCGGGCTGCGGGGGAAGACAGTTGGCGAGCGCAAAAATCACTTTGAGAAATGTATCAATCAGATTCTGAAGGATGGGCCTCTTCAAAAGATCTGAGAAGTCATTTTGGACATTTAGAATCAGAACTTCGTTTTCTAAGCACATTTACTGGCATCAGTATAAGAAATTACTCCATGAAGACAGAGGACCTTACAAACACTGAGAAGAAAGAAAAGAATATAATGAAAGTTCTACAGAGACACAGATTATCAGGAAATTGCCACATGATTACATTTCAACTTGAATTTCAGATTCTGGAAATCCAGAATAAGGAGAGTTTATCTTCTGTTATTACTGACTTCAACATAATAATGGAGCCCACTGAATATTCAGAATTAAGTGAATTTGTGTCTAGAGCAGAAGAAAGAAGAGATCTGTTGATGTTTTTCCGAAGCCTACACTTTTTTGTGGAGTGGTGTGAATATCGAAAGCGCACATTTGAACACTTCAAGGAGAAGTACCCAGCAGCCGTGCACCTCCCAGAGGGGGCCGCCTCCAGCTGCATGGCGGTCCGGAGCGCCTGCCAGCCAGGGTTCGAGCTGGTTATCGTTTGGAGGGTGCAGATAGATGAAGAAGGGAAGGTTTTGCCGAAGCTGGATCTTCTACCCAAAGCGCCACAGCAAGCCCTGAAGCTGGACTGGAACCGAGTCCTGGAGACCACGCCTCTCAGCTTCCGAGCCCTGATGGGCACACTGGGCATTGAAGCCGCCCTCGAGAGCCTGATAAAGTCGCTCTGCACAGCAGACTACGACTAGTTCCGGGCAAACACGCAGGTGTGTGATCTTCTTCCGCATAAACAGTTTCTGTGTTCCACAGAGAAACAACAGCTTTAGGACACATCTGTGCAGTTTCAGCACATTCTATATAAACTGTCGGGACATGGAAAAATAAACACAGCTATTGGAATACAAAATGCCAGACGAGCAGCACATACAGTGCTTAGGGGTGCCTGGTGGGCTTGGTTGGGGGAGTGTGCAACTCTTGATCTCAGGGTCATGAGTTCAAGCCCAACACTGGGGGCATAGATTACTTAAAAAAAAAAAAATCTTTCTCAAAAAAAAATAATAATAATTGTTTCTATTTCCTTGGTGTTAGTCCTGATTCATGATTTTATTAATTTGGGTCCTATTAATTTCCCTTTTCCTTTGGATTAGTCTGGCCAGAGGTTTATCAATCTTATTAATTCTTTCAAAGAACCAGCTTTTAGTTTTGTTGATCTGTTCTACTGATTTTCTAGTTTCTATTCCTTTAACCTCTGCTCTAATCTTTATTATTTCTCTTCTCCTGCTTGGTCTAGGTTTTATTTGCTGTTCTTCTCCAGCTCCTTTAGGTGTAAGGAACAAACAATCCTAAAATTTGTATGGAATCAGAAAAGACCCTGAATTGCCAAAGGAATGTTGAAAAAGAAAAACAAAGCTGGCAGCATCAGGTTGCCTGATTTCAAGCTATGTTACAAAGCTGTGATCATAAGGAGAGCATCGTATTGGCACAAAAACAGACACATAGATCAGTGGAACAGAATGGAGTCTCCAGAAATGGACCTTCAACTCTATGGTCAACTAATCTTTGACAAATCAGGAAAAAATATCCAATGGAAAAAAGACAGTCTCTTCAATAAATGGTCCTGGGAAAATTGGACAGCCACATGCAGAAGAATGAAACTCAACCATTCTCTAACACCATTCACAAAGATAAACTCAAAGTGGATGAAAGACCTCAATGTGAGACAGGAATCCATCAAAATCCTAGAGGAGAACATAAGCAGTAACCTCTTTGACATTGGCCACAACAACTTCTTGCTAGACACATCCTCTAAAGGCAAGGGAAACAAAAACAAAAATGAACTTTTGGGGCTTCATCAAGATAAAAAGCTTCTGCACAGCAAAGGAAACAGTCCACTAAACTAAGAGGCAACCCACGGAATTGGAGAAGATATTTGCAAATGACACTAGAGATAAAGGGCTGGTATCCAAGATCTATAAAGAACTTCTCAAACTCGACACTCAAAAAAAAAAAAAAAAAAAAAGTCGAGAAATGGGCAGAAGACATGAACAAACACTTCTCCAAAGAAGACATACAAATGGCTAACAGACACATGAAAAAATGTTCAACATCATTAGCCATCAAGGAAATACAAATCAAAACCACAATGAGATACCACATTATACCAGTTAGAATGGCAAAAATTGACAAGGCAAGAAACAACAAATGTTGGTGAGGATGTTGAGAAAGGGAAACCCTCTTACACTGTTGGTGGGAATGCAAGTTGGTACAGCCACTCTGGAAACCAGTATGGAGGTTCCTCAAGATGTTAAAAATAGAACTACCCTATGATCCAGCAATTGCACTACTAGGTATTTACCCCAAAGATACAGATGCAGTGAAAAGAAGGGCCACCTGCACCCCAATGTTCATAGCAGCAATGTCTACAATAGCCATACTGTGGAAGGAGCTGAGATGTCCTTCAACAGATGAATGGATAAAAAAAGATGTGATTCATATATACAATGGAATATTACTCAACCATCAGAAACAATGAATACCCACCATTTGCATCAACATGGATGAAACTGGAGGGGATTTTGCTAGTGAAATAAGTCAAGCAGAGAAAGACAATTATCACATGGTGTCATTCATATGTGGAACATAAGGTATAACATGGAGGACAATAGGGGAAGGAAGGGAAAACTGAAGAGGGGGAAATCAGAGAGGGAGACAAACCATGAGACTATGGACTCCAGGACACAAACTGAGAGTTTCAGAGGGGAGGGGGGTATGGCGATGGGGTGGCTGGGTGATGGGTATTAAGGAGGGCCCGTGTTGTAATGAGCACTGAGTGTTATACGCAACTAATGAATCATTGAACATTTCATCAAAAACTAATGATGTACTGTATGGTGGCTAACTTAATAAAAAAAAAAGAACATGGGGAAAAAAAGAAAGTATGTTTCCTTATCACAATGGAATAAGTTGAAATCGAGAACAGAAAGATCTCTGGAACATGCCCAAATTTTTGGAAGCTAAATAACATGCTTCTAAATAACGCACAAATCATAGAAGAAATCAAAAGGGAAATTAGAAAGTATTCTGAAATTAATGAAAACAGAACATATCAGAATTTGTGGGACTCTGCTAAGAAAGTACTTAGAAGAAAATTTATAGCACTAAATGCCTACATTAGAAAATAATAAAGGTCTCAAATCATTAACCTCAGCTTCCTCCTTAATAAATTAGAAAATGGAGAGCAAGGGGCGCCTGGGTGGCTCAGTTGGTTAAGCGACTGCCTTCGGCTCAGGTCATGATCCTGGAGTCCCGGGATCGAGTCCCGCATCAGGCTCCCTGTTCAGCAGTGAGTCTGGTTCTCCCTCGGACCCTCCCCCCTCTCATGCTCTCTCTCTCTCTATCTCATTATAAATAAAATCTTTAAAAAAAAAAAAAGAAAATGGAGAGCAAATTTAGTCCAAAGTAACCAAAAGAAACAATAACTATTAAAGCAGAAATCAATAAACTAGAAAACAGAAAAACAATAGAGAAAATCAATTAAGCCAAAATGTGGTTCTTTGAGATGATCAATAAAACTGATAAACTTTTAGCCAGCCTGATCCAGAAAAATAAAGATACAAATCACCAATATCAGGGATGAGAAACGTGACATCATATTGTGTTAGTCGTTCAACTTTGTTCTTTTTTTTTGGAGTTGTTTTGGCAATATTCCAAGTCCTTTGCATTTCTGTATGAATTTTGGAATCAGCTTGACAATTTATACAAAACAGGATAATAAGAAACTGTTATGAACCAGTTTATGAAAATAAATTTGACAAATTACATGAAATGAAGAAATTCCTTGAAAACAACTCAATCTTCATATAAGAATAAATATAACCTGAATAGCCTTATATCTATTTTTTAAATTCATGTAAGAATAAATAAAACCTGAATAGCCTTATATTTTTAAAATTTTAAATTGTACATAACAATAAAAAAATTATTTAAAAAAAATAATAAAATAAAAAAAATCAAAAAAAAAATTTGAAATTGTATTCTTAAACCCTCCTACAAAGAAAACTCCAAGACCAGATGACATCACTGATGATTTTTCTTTCTTTTTTAAGATTTTATTTATTTGACAGAGAGAGACACAGCAAGAGAGGTAACACAAGCAGGGGGAGTGGTGGAGAGGGAGAAGCAGGCTTCCCACTGAGCAGAGAGCCCAATGTGGGGCTCTATCCCAGGACACTGGGACCATGACCTGAGCTGAAGGCAGACGCTTAATGACTAAGCCACCCAGGTGCCCCATCACTTACGATTTCTAAAAAACATTTAAAGAAGGAATGAAACCAACTGTACACAAACTCTTCTTTAAACATGAAGATGAGGAAACACTTTCCAACTCATTCTATGAGGCTACCATTATCCTGATACCAAAGACAAAGAAATTAAACACAAGAAAATTTCAGACCAATATCCTTTATGAACATAGATACAAAACTTCTAACCAAAAATTTATCAGATTGTGTCTGTGGTAGGTTGAATAATGCTCCCAACCCCCAAAGATGTACAAGTCCTAATTACCAGAATCTTTGAACATGTTACTTTACATGGTGAAAGAGACTTTCCAGATATAATGAAGTTAAGGATTTTGAGATGTGGATTATGTTGGATTATCCTAATGCACTCAGTATAATCACAAGAATCTTTATAAGTGGGAGGCAGGGGTATCAGAGTCAGAGAGAGATGTAAGGATGGAAGCAGAGGTCAGAGAGGAGAGAGTACTACATTGCTGCTTTGAAGATGGGGGAAGGGGCAGTGACCCTAGGAATCTAAGCAGCCTTTAGAAGCTGGAAAAGGCAAGGAAATGGATTTCCCCTAGAGTCTGGAGGGAGTGGGCCCTGCTCACATTTTTATTTTGGCCCAATGAAAGCCATCTGGGGCCTCCAACCTTCATAATTATAAGATGACAAATTTGTAAGTCACTAAGTCTGTGGTCATTTGTTACAAGAGAATTAGGAAACTAATAAACCATCCAACAATAAATTAAAAGGATAATACATGACGATCAAGTGGGATTTAGTCACAGGAAGGCAGAGTTGGTTTATCATTAGAAAATCAATCACTATAATTCACTATAAAAGCAAAAGAAAAAAGAAAGACCATGTGATTATCTCAGTAGATAGTTTGAGAAAAATCCAACTTCCATTCCTGAAAAAAAAAACTTGGTACCTCATGCTGCTAAAGAGAAATAAAAAAAAAAAAATCTACAGCTAACATACTTAATGGTTAAAGACAGAATGTTTCTTTCCTAAGATCAGGAAAAAATCCTGGGACACTTACACTCACCATTCTTATTCAACATAATACTAGAATTTCCACCCACAACAATAAGGCAAGAAAAGGAAATAAAGGTGTATAGATTAGAAATGAAGAAGTGAAACTGTCTTTATTCACAGCTGACATGTTTATGTAGAGAGTCCAAAGAAATCTACAAAAAGCTACTACAACTATGTAAGTTTAGCAAAGTTTCAAGATTTAATATCTATATACAGAAATTATTGTATTTATATACACTAGCAGTAAATGGCTGAAATCTAATTTTTTAAAAAATATCATTTATGGGGCTCCTGGGTGTCTCAGTTGGCTAAGCATCTGCCTTTGGCTCAAGTCAAGTGTCCTGGGATTGAGCCCCACATCAGACTCCCTGCTCAGCAGGGAAGGCTACTTCTCCCCCTCCCTCCACCCCTACCCCCTGGCCCCCACTCTTGCTCTCTCTCTCTCTCTCTCTTGCTCTACTCTCTCTCTCTCTCAAATAAATAAAAACAATATTTTTAAAATACCATTTATAATAGCCTTCAAATATATGAAATATAGTCGGGACATCTGGGTGGCTCAGTTGGT